CAGCAACCCCTCCTCCGATTTAAACAGTTCCAGATCCAGAATTTTAAGTTCTGGAATTCGGTCCAACCTGCTATCTTACAGGTTTGGAAACTGAAGGCCAAAGACCTGCGGTCATGGAGAAAAACCAAGAGCCACGGCTTCTGACCCTACTGGCCCAGTGCTCTCCCTCTCACCACACAGCTTGTCTCTACGCATCTGACTAAAGCAAAAACAAACAAACAGACAAACAAATAAATAAATGGAGGTGAGGGAGGGAGGAAGGGAGGGATGAAAGGAGGGTAGAGGAGGCGGAGGAGGCAGCAGCCCCTTCCATTCTGTGACGGGCACCAAGTCCCTTACACAACAGTATCTCTATTTATACAGAGCTGTAAACAACGGAGGGGCAGGACCGGCAGGCTGGCACAGATTGCCACCAGGATGTGCCTGACCTGACCCCCCCCCCCCAAACTCAATAATTAGAAGGGCGGTGGCTCCACAGGAATTATTCATATGCGGCCAGAGCCGTGAACTCTACATTTATGTTAAACACGTCAAACCCGATTGAAATCATGCCCGCCAGCACCACAGTCCACAACCACGCGTTCACCCTCGCGGCCGCCTGTTAATGCCTCCTCTGATAGCAGGCTCCCATAGATTCGAATCATGGACGCTCCACTGCACTAATTGCTCGGCGCTAGGTGAGCATCACGGATTTTAAAAAAAATGAGTCCAATCCCTTCGGGCCCTTTCTCCAGAGCAGAGAACGCAGTCAAACTGCAATTCTGACAGAAAAATTTAACAAGAACACACACAGGGCGCAGCAGTTAGGGATTTTTCAGAGCATCGCCAGGCCTCTGTTTTTGGCTAGGCTAGTGGTATGCCCATCTTTACCAAGCACCAGTGCCTCCTGGTCATCCTGCCTCAAGTCCCCCGTAGCCAGGCTCTGGCGCTCTGTGGCTAGAGACCTTGGTGGCCTTGGCCTTTCAATAACCATCTCACTATGGTTCTTTGCCAACAGTTCAATCTTGTCCCCTAATTATTGGCGATAAAGTGCTGCATTAATTGGATATCACTTAATTTATAGCAATTAATGATTGACTTGGCTAATCACAGCGTTAATCACTGTTCAGTGGGGGACGCTGGGGGCTCTTCCATCTCAAAACGCTCATACTCAAATCCACTCTGGCAAATGACAACAAGGGGGTCACGTTCAAGTTTCAAAGGAGAAAAACCACAGAGTTGGATGGTGGAAATGACAGTGCATTAGCGAGGGCTCTGCCTCTTAGAACCTTCCCGTGATGCTCTGCCTCGCCCCACCCCCACTGGCCTGAAGGAAAGCTTCCTGCTTGTGCTGACTGAACGTGAGACCCTGCTCTCCAATGGCTTGTATATCTGCCACTCCTCCACCATGGGGCCCACAGGTGGCTGGGGCTCGTGGGTGCTATTTCACCATGTTTCACACTCATGGTATCCATAACTCAGTCCCCCAACTGATGCTGCTCACTAGCTAGTGGCCTTCCTAACTGCACACCTAGAGCCCTTTCCATGGCAACGACCTGCTTTCATCCCAGTTAGTTTTATTCGGTGTATGTGTCCTGAGCTCGAGGATGTGCCGAAAAGGTTTTCTTCCACTGGTGGTGGTGGTGGTGGTGGTGGTGGTGGTGGTCCAGGATAGAATCCAGGTGATCAGACTTGCTTTGGCAAGTGCTTTCACCCTCAGCCGTCTCGCTGGCCCACTACCTGGCACGCTTCCAGGAGACAATCCAGGTCATTTTGAGCACACTGGTGCTATGTCACCATTTTCATTATAAAACTTTGGGATCTGCTCCTCATTCATGGGTCAGAGAGGTCAACCTGGAAATAAGGAGCCCATTCCCGGGGGAATGGGAGTGGGGTGGGGGAGGGTGTTGGCCGAGCGTGCTGTTAAGGGTAGGTACCTTGTCCTAAGTTCCTAGGAAAACGGGATGTGGTTCTCAAATCTGCCTGTGTACTTTCTCACCCTGCCTGAGCCAGGCCAGGCTAAGCTTCCTAGCTTGTGAGACAGCAGAAGTGGGAAGGCAGCTGTTTATCAACAACTCCACAGGGCAGGGGTGAGAGTCAGGTATGCTCACGCCTGGAAAGCAGTCGTGGCTCGCAGGGAAAACAATGGCGACCCGGGTAAAGCCGCAGCAGCTGTGACCGGTGCTGTCGTGAGGAGCCCCACTCACCCGGCTGGGAAGCTGTGCCCTGGCACCTGTTTGTGTCTGCTGATGGGAAGGTCAGACAGACGGGAAGCCTCCAATTTAGCCAGTCACACAGAGTCAGCATGCCCGTGATGGATTCTTTCAGGGTTAGTCCTTCCGAGGCACATATGGCTACCTGAATTTATATTCATTAAGATGAAACAAGACTTAAATGTCACTTCCTCTGAGCGTGATTTAGATGTTGGACGTTCTGGTCAGTGCACAAGTTCCTGCATTGTCCTTTCGATGGCGGGTACCCTGGAAGGCCCAGGACGGTGTCTCACACCCTGCAGACAAAAGCCTCTCGAAACTCGTGACCCTTAGTACTCTGCCTAGTGTCTCGCATGGAGTGAGGGACTCTGCCATGGGTCCCCCCTTTCAGCTCACTATACGGTTGTCTCAGGATCCCTCAAGGCAACATCCTCACTCTATCGCTGAGAACCCTGAAGAGGGGCAGCTACAAAGGAGATTGCAAGTCCTACTCCAATAAGAAGAGACGAAAGACAAGTAACTAAAATCTTCAAGATTATCCGTTCCTGCACGAGCCCCCAAACTACATAATCAATAGCTGAGAAAAATGCCAATTATCCAGACCCATTTGAAATATTATTAATCTGCATCAGCAGCAGCCACTAATCAACACAACAAATTGTGAAATCGCTATTTACTTGTTTGCGGGGAGGAAGCAGTCCCCATCACGCTTAATCAGAAAGGAACAGCTTAATTTAGGGAACAAATGAAAGAAACATAGTCACCCCCCCTTTTTTTCCTATTATTATTCTTTTACAAAATACCAAGGATCCAAAATGAAGGCTCAGAAAGATTGCTGGCGCCGGGTTCCATTCCAAGATCAAACCGGCCCAAGAGCTTCATTAAGCCTGTCATTACATACTCCGAATCCACAGACAAAAAATTATGCTTCGGGTCACGGGAGGATGGTCTGAAGGGGTCAGCAAGGAAGGCCGACTTCTTCCTTTATCTCTGTGCGCCTGGCAGGGTGCGGCCCCTCAGCCTCTGTTTCTCCCTGTCTTCTGGAGGTAAAGAGAGGCCTGTTGCGTGGATGAATGCGTCCAGGAGGGGAGCCTTATTATGGACATGTGTTCTACGGTTCTCAGATTTTTTAAGCCTCTTGGTGGCCTCCTGGCTGGTGGGCATGTCCACTGGTGCTAAGATGGAAGGCTGTACTCTGGGTCACAGGCACCGAACAAGTTTTAATTGAAGTGCCCTCAACCAAGCCCGCCCCGTACTGGTTGCATGGGTGTGAAAAGCATGCACCAAGCTGGCAGCGCAGGGCCTTGCACACAGTAGGGGCTTTGTGAGCAACGGTTCTTTAATAATGTCCCTGGCACCCACATGGGATGCTGGAAACCTGACACACCAAATGCCAGTGGGCAGACCCGGCTAAACCCCTGTATGTCACTCCTGCTAACTCTTTAAAACTCCTAGAAGCCATGGTGGCTGGGCGTTTTCGTCTCACATACAAATGGAGAAGGCTAAGAGAGATTGCTACTGGTTTTCTGTATGCTTCTTGACAAACTCCATACACTAAGCTTACTATATGCTGGGCCTTGTTCTAAGTGTCCCGAATTAAGATAATACTGAGGCAAGGCACTATTCTTAATCTCTATTCTTAATCTGTCATTTAACAGGAAGGCACAGAAGGGTTGAGAAACTAAGTATTGTCACCCAGCAAATGGGAGGGTCGTGGTTAGAAAGCAAGCACCCAGATCATGACAACAAACAGATGACCTAGAAGGTCACAGGGTCACGGCCTTCAGAGTATGTTAGCCAAATGCTCTCCCCTTGGGGCACAGGATGTTTGGCTGTGGGCTACAATGTCTATTTACATCTCACCTTAACAGGTTAGTAAAAACTGGGGTCTCGGCACTTGCAAGATGACACAGGTGGGACACACCCCTCCCTGCATCTAAGGGGACCTCCATCACAGGTAACGGTCCTTTCCTCCCTGTCTCTCCCTCCTAAGTACCCCCCAGGGCATCTGCCCCTGCCCCTCCGTGCTGTATCAAGAGCAAGCTGGAAACTCCACAAAGCCCTACTTCAAAAGAGCCACAGGGATGGTGTACACCACCTGGTGCACCCCTCTGTTCGGTCAGTGGCCCCATCCTTCGCCCTCAGGAAAACACTGAACCTCTCGGCATGTCCCCTCCCGGAGCCTGTCCTTCTTGCTATCCAGAAACCTCCCAAACTTGACTTCTCTGGGCCACACAGCCCTGATTCCTGCAGCCTCTTCACAGAGGCAGGATTTCTCAGCCTTCAGTCATTTTCATTGCTTTCCTCTGGCCTCTCTCCAAGATTCTGTATCTTGTTTAAATAATGAAGGCCAACCCCCAACCCTCAATATGATTTAAGAACAGCCTTGCCTATAAAAGTAACAAAGGCCCAACCAATACAGACTCTAAAAGGTAAATATTTTCTTTAACAGAAAGGAAGAAAGAAAGCAAAGAATTATAACAGTGAGTGAGAATGGTGGCGAGAGTCCGGTTGTCCAAACGGGATCGGTTTTGATGCTTGTCACAGCATTTCCTGCTAGCGTTGTGGTAGTGTCTGTGAGACTTATCTACCCAGTAAATCCTTGAAGAAATGACTCAGCTCCTCCTCTGAACCCTGGGCTTTTCTCTGTCTCAGCTCTTCTCTCCTCAGCACAGAGATCCTGTCATCTTGAAAAATGGCCGTTCTTCTCTCTCGGCACTGGCTTTTCCAGAAATAGCACTTCCTGCCCTGGCTTCTACAATTTGTTCTGCTTTTGCTAAAATGTCCCCCCTGCCCGGGACTGCACTGCTATCCTCCCTGTGGACGCTGGCCCCGGGGAAGGGGCATGGACAGAAGAGTACACAGGCCCCCTGGCTCAGGTCCCCAGACACAGAGCAAGACCCACCGCGCCTCCTGCCTCTGGTAACCTTGAGGCTGAGAATCAGGGGTGATCTCAACCAAGGCCTGTGTGACAAATGTCTCTGCCAGGCCTTCAACAGAACAAGAAGGGCAAGAAAAGGACACGATAACAACGTTGCACAGCTGCCCAAGCAAAGGTACCTCAAAACTCCAGACACCTGGTGCTCAATAAAAAAGGGTACCTAAATAAGAACACAAGAAAGAGAAAGAAAAACAGAGCAGGACGATGCTTGCCTTTACCCCTGCCAGGGGTAGAGGCAGAGGAGGCAGAGGCAGAGGCAGGTGGATCTTTGTGAGTTCAAGGCTAGCTTGGTCTCTATATAGTGAGTTTCAGGCCAGCCAGAGATATATGGTAAGACTCTGTTTCAAAACAAACAAACAAACAAACACTCCCTCTGTAGCAAGCCCAAAGCCAGTATACATCTAAGAGAGAGGAAGGGTAGGTCTGCTTCCTGCTGCCAGCCTCATTTTTCCCAGGGAGAAGTCCCAAGGGCCGAAGACAGCCATGCACACTACCTGGCCGCTTGCTCTGCCCTTCTTCGCCGCTGCTCCCCTGGTCTTTGGGCAGCTCCTCCGGGTCAGCAGACGCTTCGCCAGGCCCTTCTGCATCTTCGACGGCTTCTTCTGAAATATGGGGAAAACAAAGATGTCAACAATGAAAGCTGGGAAGGTGTTGGAGAGCTCCTAGGCCCCTGTGCCCAAGAAGGACCAACCACAAAACCCAGACATCAGCGACCCTGTCCTTGTCTTCTTAGTGGCCCCAGTGAGGCCAGCCGTGTTAAGGGCATACTTCATCCCAGGGAGAGCTGCCATGGGGCCGTGAAGGCTGCTAGATGTGTGACCATCGGGTACTTCTAGATAGGTTCTGAGGGCCTCCCTCAGCTCTCTCCAAGTGGAGCGAGTCACTCGTCCCTGAAGACCACACCGGACCCAGTCTCTGAGCCATCACTGGGCCAGCAGTGTTCATGCACAAGCCAGATGACGACAGGGTTCTTGGAGTCACTTACGTCCTGGAGAGTCACAGAACATCTGTGATAGGATTTGTTGTCTTAAGGAGCTCTAGAAGGCAGATGGGAGAGGCAAAGGGGCTGAATGAAAACGCATGGCGGAACCACCACGCCCCAAAGTAGGCCTACTATCAGGCGGAATGTTGTCTCCTCGAGTTGAGAAGGAAAGAGCCTGTGGTGCTGGGGTGGGGCATGGTTCTCTCTGTTCTTCTGGCCAGCTGGATCATTAACCAGAGCACACGATTACTAAGAGGCAGTTAAGAGGAAGAGCAAGGGTGGGTAGGATGGCTCAGTGAGAAACTCCTAAGTTCAAGCCCCAGATTCTTCGTAAAGGCAGGAGGAGAAAACTGGCCCCACAGGGTTAGCCCAACCTCCATACAAGTGCTGTGGCACAGGTGCCCGCACAGGTACATTAGACACACACGATACTAATTTTCTAAAGAATGAAGCAAACAAAACCAAGGTCAAAATCACTTAAAGTGATGAGGAAACTGAAGAGCACACCTCTCCGGGTTCAGGAGCCTGAGAACACACACTCCTATGCCTATCACAGGAATCCCAGATTGACCTCGACAGGAACCAAGACCAGGATACAATCTAGAACTGTGGACTGGGGTTCTAGCCAACACCACCTTCAGAATATCCAACTGCAAGCCCACTTTTGTTTGTTTGTTTGTTTGTTTGTTTGTTTGTGGGACAAGGCCTCACACTGTGGCCCAGGCTGGCCTCAGCCCTATATTTAAATTAATTCAGATGTTATGCCCTCCGACCTCCCCTCAAAATAGCCTCTAAATTCTATCCAGCAAAAGGACTAAAAACAGTCACAGTGAACTGATCTGTAGAGGCTTCCAAAACACTCAAGGCCAAAAAGGATCATTCTAGAGTTGTGTTCTAATTCTTCTAGAAAGATGATAGAGCATCAATGGCCAGGAAAAAGGGACTCTCTAACAATAAAGGATGGTCTCTCTTCCTTACCAACAGCAGAGAGCCCCAGAGGCAATCCCCTGGCAGCTGCTTCTTCAAGGTGACCTCAGGGCTCTCTGTATGTTTCCCTGTGTGCCTTTGTTGGCTCACTGCACCCCAAAGTTCACAATGGGTCTCCTGACCCAACCCTTTGTTTGAACAGACAAAAATCAGGCATTTGTGGCTTAACATTCTTTAGATATACAGCTCAGTATTAACAGCATACACAGACTTGTAGAAGGGGGAAAAATGGCTGAGCAGGAAAAGTGCGTTGTACGGAAAGATACATGCGCCATCTTATGTCCAGGTAAGGTGCACATTTTAGGCTTTTGACGAGACACCTATAGAATTCATCTTCAAGAGCAACACCAGCAGTAAGTTAATCAGTATTAAATTGAGCATATGCACACTAGCTAGGCATTCTAAATATGCTCCATGGCACAAGTCATTTGCAGTGTTGGTAAAGTAGTTAAGTGGGCTTCGGCACAGAGATGGCTCAATGGGCGCATCTCTCTGGCAGGGACCCCCACGATCACCTTAGACTGAAATGGCCTGGCTCTTATAGGAGACAGCTCCCTGGGTGATGAGCGGTGTGCTGAGGTGTCTCTCAGCAGAGGAAGCAAATGCCTACTGGGCCACCCAAGCCAGGGCCCGCGCCTGCAGCTGTGAGGGCAGAGTTCAAAACCATCACCCACCCGGGACTGATGCCAGGGAGCTGAAGCTTTCCAAGCAGTTCCACTTAGGAGGCAGAGACTGTGAGCAGATTGTGGACGCAAGAGCACATGAGGGAGATACAAGAAGGGGCTGTGTGACTGTTTCCTAGAACCCTCACTCTGAGCCTGCCCGAGCCTTCCTTGGCTTTCTTCCTTTCTTGCTCCGTGCAAACAGAAAACAAAGGCAGCTACGTTTCAAGAAGGTGGGGGTAGGGATGCAAACTAAAATTAAGAGAGGTTACTTTACTTCACCACAAGATTACTGTTACTATTATTATTATTAAATTTGACTTCTCTTCAAGACGTGTAAACGCCTTCTTCTTGAGTTTCTAGGCTTTATCGTCCGTGATTTATACACTAAGAGAATGCGATATACATGCTCTATGAAGAATGATTAAGAAACTTTTGGACAGACCAGCTCCTTTTTATAGGGGATCAGTGTCCTCACCCCTAGTTATAGAAACCAGACAAAACAAACAAAAACAAAAACCAGGTCCCATTTAGGCAGATACTAGAGTCCCTGCAGTTCCACCTGTGACCTACAGGTGTCGCCCTCTGCATGGCAAGGCCTGGGAGGGCAGCTGGCTAGGAGGCAGGCAAGTCTGGGCTGCCGAACCTGAGCATGTGGAAATAATATACGTCTCCACGCGAACAGTCTAGTCCTGGGGAAATAAAATAGAACATTCATAAGCAGTTACACCATCTGTCTTTATACCGTCATCATCAACAGCGAGAGGGGGTAAAAGCTCTTTAAAATGGATGAAAGCCCAGGCTGACAGTAACCGGAAAACTGTAAGCTTGAATACCAATAAAGGTAGAGAATGATTAAAAAAAAAAAAAAAAAAAAAACCTCGGATATGAACTGCAAGTCTGTCTGGACAGCCCGGACTTGTGAGGCTTTGCAGACAGGGTGTGTCTTTACTGGGTCCAGAAATGTCACACTCTCACCAAAAGGCCTGGCTTCGGCACCCACAGGGACGTGTTGGCATCCTGGCCCTGGACAGGCAGCTGTGGCCAGGGGTACAACAGCATCTGGCTCCAGACCAGAGCCTGCCCACTGAGCCAGGGCAGCTCGCTACACTTTGCTCTCTTCCAGACTGCGCATCGGATACACGCGTTCTGACCTCGAGGGATGGAGGGGCGGTTCTCCTCACAGGCCATGTACAGCACATTCTGGCCCTGTGTAGCGGTAACTGGCCGGGGTCATCACAGAAGCTGTGTTTTTGTTTTTCTTTCTGCAGTATCAACTGCCGACAGATGGTGGAAACCACTGAGGGAGTGGGCTGGTGATGGGTTTTGTCTAAAAACCTCCATCCTTTGCTTGGATGGATAGGTTGCTTTCCTCTAACTGACACACCTCACACTCCAAGCTCAGGCGCACACCGCAACCAGTTTCCCCTCTGAGCGTTGAAGAAATGACACTTCACATCCCAGCCTGAGCAAAACTGGGATGCTTTCTCAAAGGTGTATGGCAGGACTGGACAAGGAGGTCACCTCTACCGCAGCCCCAGCTCTCAGCTGGAGGCAGCCAAGCCCAAGGCACCAGGGACAACTGAGTATTTGTTAAGGGTACCACAGGAGGGACCCCTAAAACCCTGCAGGTCATGCCCCACCCCAGCCCTCAAGTTAGGGTAATCCCTCCCTTCTGTCCGCACTTTCAGGCGAAACTGAGAGGGGGAAGCTTTATTTTTCGACCTGAGTCTCAGGCTGGCCTGGTTATTGATTGGTACAGTCTCCTGCCTCTGCCTCCTGAGTGCTGGGATTACAAAGAAATGCCCCCACTCCAGGCGTAGGCGTCACTGGGGATGCAACTGAGGGCTTCCTGCCTGCTAGGGAAGCACTCTGCCAACACGGGTCCCATCGAGGCCCAGAAACGTAAGGAACTCATGAAAACCAGCATGGCCTTCCAGTGGTACCCTCTGGCTTTCACTGCCACATCAAACACAGCCTAGGACCTGTGAGAGATCTAGAAACATACCTCCTTACTACCTCTTCCCCCTGACCCCCCATTAAACAACTCCAGGCCACCCTCATTAGGGCTGAGCCTTTCCAGCCTGCTCTTTGCACTCTCAACTCCTGGTGAGGTGAGGGACAGAGCCCTCAGGTGGGCACAAAAGCCCCTGCAAATACAGACAGATCGTAGAAGAAGCGGTTTTGGAGGTTGGGAGGTTGGGACCACAGACGTAGAGGAACACCCCATCCAAGCAGCTTTTGCTCCCCACAAATTCGAATGGCTCTCTCCCTGCTCCTGGCTGACACTGGGCCTCCTGATCGAGGTGACTACAAGAGTCTCCTACCCTGATTCTCCCCGTGAAGGAGGAGGCAAGTGTGTCAGCTGGCAGCCCCACAGGGGTTCCTAAGAGTTCTGGGAGCAGCCTGGGAATTGGTGTGTGCGAGGCAGAAGCCAAACCCGGGGAAAGAGCATCATTACAAAGTCAGCGTTCGGCCCCCAGCACGTGCTCCCCAAATGTCACCCACGAAAGCATTCCGGTTAAAAGAAAAAAAGTACCGTTTCTCCCCAGTCCCCCCAACAACAGGCGGAGTAATGTGTCCATTGGGGGTATTTCACAAATAGCTTCCGGGCTTGAAGGAGAGGGGAGTCAATCAATGAGTAAGACTAGTCCCTCTGTTCCCAACTCTTAACAGGATAATGTAGATTAATTCAGACCTGACAAAGCCCCCACCCCGCCTTGATATGATAGAAATTTGGAAATTCTCCGAAGGACCAGGAGGGTGTCTGTACCCAAGGCTCACACACACGAGTGTGTTAGTTAAATAACACACCAGCCAATCTGTGATCCCCAAAGAATGAAACTGTTCATTCTCTTTTCCGGGGGCTGGCAGGGGTGGGAGGAGGCTGAGGGTGGGGGGGGGGGGCCGGTGCGTGGGGGGTGGGGGGGGATACAGTTTGCCTGTCGGGCGGCGGGCTCAAGAGCTGAGA